CCTGAATTCTAGGGTCGTCCTAAAGATCATAAGTCTGGTTTACCCTTTAGACCCATAGCATCTACTTGCGGATCTTCGACAGAAAGTATATCGTGGGTTTTAGATAGACTGCTGCATTTGTTATTGCACTTGCTCCCTGCTCATATCAACAGCACATATTTTCTTGAACAGTTACGTAATGACTCACACCTTATTCATGATAGTTCTATTCTGTTTACGATGGACGTTGTTCAATTATATCCTGGTATCCCAATTGAAGAAGGGATACACTGTGTTATGACTATGATTAGAAAAAACAGAGATGACTTAGAACTTTTAAATATTTCAACAGATTGGTTAGAAAGAGCTCTGTGTTAAATAATGGGTATGTAAGATTTAACGAGGAATTTTATAAACAAATCAGAAAAATAGCTATGGGGAATAGGGTAGCAGTAGTCTTAGCTGTAATATTTATGCATATACTTGAAATGAACGCACTTAATTCTTAGAAAACAGGAGGGAATGTTGGCCCATCAATATTCATAGATGACATTTCGAGTGTGGAACACTAATTTACAGTCTCTTTTTAGTTTCCTCGACTTGTTGAATACTGTTCACCCTTTCATAAAATTTACACTTGTTTATGTCATACCAGGTAGAAAATTTACCGTTTCTAGATACTACAATTCATGTCATGAATGGGGAAATAATTACTGGTATTTTCAGTAAGCCTTCTATTAAAGCTCTTTGTTTGCATTTCCACTCTTATCATCCGGGTCCCTGCTGTAAAAAGAGGTGTCGTTATTGGCTACCTCCATAGAATTGATAAAGTTTGTAATAACAAAGAAATGTGTGAGAAGGCTAGGGAAAATCTGATGACTCTTTTAAGAAAAAAATGTCTATCCACAGGAATTTATACAAAACATAATAATAAATTTTGACAGGTAAAAAGAAAATAGACATGTTCTTTTGAATTGTATAAATAAACAAACCACATTTAAAGCTCAGGCTACTTTGGTGATTCCATATATTAATGATAATATCACCACAAAACTAAAAAGAGTAATTAGAGCACCAGACTTACCTATTAATATGGTACAAAAACTGGGCATCTTCCTTAACTCATTAATAACAAGTTCAGCTTACAAGAAAGAAACACGATGTATGAAAAATAACTGTAAAACTACTAAATATGGACTACATGATAGATGCCATAGTCGAAAACGTTGTTTATGAAGTAACTTGTGGCAGATGCTCCGATATATACATAGAAGAAACTTGTCGACCCATACATGATCGAATATCTGTACATGTGCGTGACATCTAAAACCTCAATACTAACAATGCTATTGCAGAACATTATGGAAAAGTACATGGTTTACCACATGCGGATAACATCTTATCTAAATGTCATAATTTTTTGGAGAGAAAATTTAAGAATCCATTTTAATCAAGAAAAATAAACCTAAATTGAATAAATACAAAGGTTGGCCATTAGTGTACAGATGTTAATGACATTTTAATATGTTGTACTTTGACGAAGACTCTATACACATTTATAAGGATTGAAATATATATTCAGACATTGTTTTATGTATGTATTGATATACTATAATGGAAAAATACTTACCAATACAGATATAAATTAAAGCTTTAGATACATCACGTATTCTATTTCAAATCGAACGACGTTAATAATTTACTTATTGGTTTTACACATTTTATTCATATTGCATTGTTGATTTGATTCGTCTTAACAACATAAATTCAATAATGTTTGATATTATTTTTATATAATATAAACTTTCTAAACACGTGCATCTATGTTTGATTTTCAAATGACAGTGTTCCAATTTAGATTTAACTGGATTAGGGAACTTGTAGGATATTCAAAGCTCCTGACGATGCTCCAATAGCGAAATATTGAGCTAATAAAGTTACATTCTGGAGGTATAGGTCGTGATTTTTTTTACATTTATAGAAATTTCCTTTTTATTTCAAGTGTTTTAGCCTTGCACTTACATGAGCAAAAATAGCAGTCATCTCCTTGGTTTCTAGCCTCACGCCAGACCACTGGAATTCCAAAAAGCAAATACTTTTTCTTACCTTTAGTCCATTATCATAACTCTTCGACCTAAAAGGTGCAAACTTTGTGCAGTGCCCATGATTTGTCTTGGTCCCCAAGTTTTATTCAGTAATACGCGTAAATAAGCTTTTTTGACGAATTCTGTAATGTTTTGCCTTTGTTTTTTTACAACAAATTTATCACAAACTGAATATATTTGGGTCATTTACACAATCTCTTGTTGCCATAGCAATGAATATATAATATTGAAAATAAAAGATAATGTCAAAGTGTGCGCAAAAACAAATACTATTCCGCAATGACACGTCATGCGGCCTGTTAACTGTTTATATACTAGTGGTGTGTTTCTTGTGGGTTCAAGAATGATCGATAAGATTCTCACATCACAATTGGTCTAGAGAAACCTATAGCCAGTGGTTGTCAACATTTTGAGCATAACAAAATGGGACCAGATTTCAATGAAAATGATTCACTTATGTAAAAGAACATACGAAGTTTTGTGAAATATCTGTACGTGATGAATAAATTTTGAGTGGTATGGACCAAACAAAAAATATTCCATTAGAAATGCCACTAAAAGTCTTATTAAAAAATACTAACAATGATTTCAATAAACATTCCAAATATTAGTAAAACAAATTTTTGGCAGATCTTATGAAACATAAAAATAATGGAAGTATTATAAGCTGGTAAGGGAGGGGGATTGAAGTTGTAATTTTAATACCTAAATTGTGTTGAAAATTTGTTGAATGACAGTAGTTATGTTGGAGTAAAATGTGAGTCTACTAAAAAAAGCAATTAATTCTTGCATCATTTTCAAAGAAAATGAATCAAGAAAGTTTATTTCTAAGTTGACTTCATCCTTATGCCCTCCATAAATCCCACAAACCAACCTTAGCATTTAGACTTATTGTCTACATGACACACATAGATGCTCAGTATGTTGACAAGTTTTTATTTTTTTAGCTAGAACCAGAAGTACAGTAAAATATTCTGTGGACTTTGTTAATATAATTAATAAATATAAAATTAGATTCAATGGCTTCTTTTGACATTATTTCTTTATTTACAAATGTTCCCATTGACAAGGCCATTAAATGTTTTCGTGAATATCTTTGTAATGAACATTTACCTCTGGTTGCAGTTAACATCATTAACTAACTAAAGTTTGTGTACAATCTACTTTCTTTAATGTTAATAGTAAATACAACAAATGATAAAGTAGTTGACATGGCTTTGAACAAATGCAAAGATTTACTTATGGTTTCATTAAAGATGGAACTAACCCGATCCATCCAAACTTAAAGTAAGTGTATTTACCATATATACTTGGCGTTACTAAAAACCTAACTAAAATTCTGAAATATGTTCAAATAAAATAATTTATTTACCACCTTAACAATTCAAAGATGTTTTACCATCAGTTAAAGACCCATTGACTGTTTTCAATAAATGTGGTGATTACAAGATTCAGGTGTTCATGTGCTAAAAATCTATATCAACTAAACTATTAGAAACTAATGAATATGAATTAAAAGAACACCAAAGTAATGTTGAAAAGAAAAAGGTTTATGAGTTCACTTTAATTTATGCTTCAAACCTAAAACACCAAAGAAAACTTAATATTCATACATTGGTGCAGAGTAACAAGATTTCTATTAACTTTACATCAAATAAAAATTCCTTGTCAGAACTAAAAACATCAGATATTTGAAATTGATATGAATTATGCTATTTGTCAATGAATATTAATTGGAATTAAGCTTTCAACAGTAATTTTAATATTTAACTAACACAGTTTTAAATACTTCTTATAAAATATTAGTCTATTTATAAAAACTTTGTTTTTGACTAAAGTAACTGATGAATTCCAGAAGTTCTTTGCTCAAACAACAACATTCCTCCCAACGATTTTTGGTTGCATTTGTCATTATCTCCAGATTCTCTGTGTACTTCAGGATGGACTTTAGTAGCCTGGTGGTTAATAAAATTAAACTTGTACATCTTTACTAGAAAAATAATTCTTATATATGTTAAATACATCGATAACTTGCCTTAATAGTCACAATTTTAAAATGATTGGAAACCTTAGACAATATTGATTCCGCTGCTCACATAGATAATTTCTTTAACAAATATGTTACAAAAGTAAGATTTGATGGAACATCTTAAAGGAAAAGTTCTTACCTTGTAAGATGATGTTGAGTTTTTTTCTCTAACGAACTTAATTTATTAACGTACATAAAATTCACTAATATTGTCATGAACACTACTTGGAGTGATCTTGTTAAAACAGGAACACTGGAAGAAATAAGAATAAATTTATACACACACACACACACACACACACATATATATATATATATATATATATATATATATATATATAACAAACTTCACAAAAGATTCTTACTGAAATTATTAAGAATCAATTATACATTAAGTTAGAATACGTAGTTCATTTGTATCTTCTACACTAAAAATTTCCTCACATTCATAAAGTTGTAACTTTCTACTGAAGCTATTCAACTAATACCTAGAAAATAATTCAAGTACAAAACAAGGAAATTTCTGTAAATTCACTGAAACTAATTATTATTTTTGGAGCACTTCTATTGACATTTTGGTTGCTTAACTACCTGTCTAAAAATAAAACTGCTTAAACTCAGTGAAATTCCACTTGTCATAGTACCAAACATTTCCTCCTGTAAAATAACTTATAGTGAGCAAAACCATGTAAAATGTACCAGAGATCTTTAAGGTTCTAACTAATAAAATATCATTACCTTTAAAGATGGCAAGTGCATCATGATCTTTTATTTGGATCTCATCAAAGTATATGAAACAAACATCTCTCTTACAATATCAACCATCCTTATCTACTCACTGAACTATGCTAGAGCTATCTACACTGCCAAAAACCTTCATTCAAACATGTTCATCTCATAGTGCAAAATAATTCAAACTAAGCAAAATAATTCATCATTACCTGCATAACAATCGTGAATAAGTCAATCTTTGCCGAGAACGCATCTCTTTCTTACACCATTGATAATAACGAGTCTGAAGTCCATCTGACACTTGGTCAGCAACAATGATAATGTGGCTTACAATCTGCCGAAGTAACGTTGTAATTTCACCTTCATATTTTGGTCTGTACAAGGTTTCTGGGTGAAGCTTTTTTAACATATTGGACAACATTTGAAAATCACAGTGTACAAGATTCCTGATAAGAAAAGAAAACCATGAGTCTGTACACACTGTTTCCAAATTTCCCCTCATTATCTCCCTTCCTTTTATGGGTTCACAATCTCTACCAATTAAAAAACAACACCCTTCTGTAATAAAAACTTCTATCCTCAAATTCAGCTTAGAATAACACATAGACCTAGCCTCCACATTAAACACTTATTTCAGTACAAAGATCAAGTACCTAAACTTCTACGTTCATGGCTCATGTATAAATATACGTGTAGTGATTGTAAGGTCATGTACATTGGATAAATGAAACGCCACTTAAAAACTAGTCTGTAAACATTTAGGAGTATCTAACAGAACCAACCATCCACTACTTAAACCCAGCCACTCATCCATTCGTTCACATTCTGAAACCAAAGGTCACAATATTTCATTTAATGATTTCTCTATCATCACCACAGGATCTTCAAACCTTGACCTCTACATTAAAGAAAGTCTACTCGTAGCTAAAAACTGTCCAATCCTTAATGACTCACAAAGTTCTTTAGATCTAAAATTGTTCTAGATTTTCACACTTAACTCAGCTGTTGTGTGATATATATCAACATTGTTTCATCTGTCCATTTACCTTGTTTTTTAATAACTACACTAATGATTATGTTATTATTATATAATTTTAGTAATAATCATCTTTGTAACACAATTTTAAGATTTTGCTGAAGATGGAATAAGTTATTCCAAAACTTTCGAACCTTGTACATAAAATGTTTTATGTTTTATCAACCATCTTCATTATTAGTTCTTATAACCCTTTGCCTGAATCACAGGCCTTCTCTCTCTCTCTTTAGAGCTCTGCATCAGTAAAGAAACCTATTTTATACTCCCATTTATTTAACATTTCCTATAAAAGCATGTCATTTGAAACTTTCAGCAAAAGAAATTATGAGTTTTAGTGGGTTATGCGAGTGATCCAAGTGCCAATGAAATAAACAGTTCCTTCACCTATGAATCAGAATATGTAGGATGGCTCAGTGATCTCATTTCACTACTTAATAGATGTATTCCCTGATTCACTGTTTGTGTTGTCTTCTTGTTCCAAGTGTTAATGTCAGTAGTATGGATATAAACCTACTGCATTAAGTTTGCATGTCTTTTAAATTTCAAACTTACTGCTGGAGTTTAAACTGATAGACTTTTCACCATAAAGATTCATTTCATACATACAAATTCTTGAAATATTGCCTTATTATTCTAGAGAAATGAGTTTCATTTGATTCAAAACATGTGTCTCCTAAAGGGAGATTTTTATTCTAAAGATACCAAAATCAAATACAAATTAATCTTTGAAGTTTCAAATACAGATGACCCACAAAAATGCAATTTCAAATTAAATTGCAAAAGTTTTTGTTATTTTTGAACAGCTGTTAGGAACAAACAAAAATTTAAGTAATTCCAACGAAAAGTCTGTCTGTATTTTAAATATTAACTATTCACAGAATGCTATCAAAAACACTGATGAAGTAAAGATATTAAGAACTCAAAAGGAGATAAAGAAATAAAAAAATTACACTATACTGTAAAACATAATAAAATTCTATGAAATAACAAGAATATCTGCTTACTTTTTCAAATCATTGTCAACATTATACAACTTGCATATAGCCTGAATGAGGTGTGTTACATCGATAGATTTGTCTGTTGTTTCACCACTATCAGGTGGATCATTTAAATCAGTTATAGGGCAATCCTTCCATTTCATCACCTTGTTGATTGCCTGAAGGAGCTGTATCAAAAATATCAGAAATAATGTATAACAGTACTTCATATTTTTGTGTATGGAAGCACAATATCCTAATAATATAATAAATTGACAAACAACAGTTTATAAATTGTTGTTTGTCAATTTACCAATAAGCTCTTCATATTTCATATAAAAGATGTTGTAGCAATTTCTCAGGAGTTATCAGTTATTTGGGAAAGAAAATGTCTGGGTATTTTGTGCACGAATACATTTCTTAGGCAACATATCTTTCGCATCAAATTGTCAAGGACATACAACAAGGAATGTATTGTTTAGGTACTGTATCCTACAAAAACATAAAAGAATGTTGATGAATTGCATAATTCAAATAGTAATCATGCAAAATAATTTATGAATTTTGTCAATATAATATCTTGATTACAAGCTATTACATGAAAAATACAAATTTTCTGAGATTGGTTTTTAGTTAATAGCCAGTTGTTTAAAATTTTTCTGGTAAGAGAGAAAGCCAGAGTGAATGTATTTATTATACATAAGAGCTAATAAAAATTGGAAAATGTTCACAAAGCACTAGGTTAAAAGTTTGGTGGAAGTGGAGTAACTGAGGACAGAATAATCACGATGACTTAAAGAAACAATGAAATTCAAGATTGTGTCACTACATGAAGCTTTATATAACTGAAGAAGGATAAAGCAGCTAAAGAAATGAAAATAACAATTGAGGTTTTCTTAATTTTCACTCTGGAAGACAGCTATAATACCAGAATACTATAAATGATTATTTTCAGAGCCACACTTACCTTTCTCTTTAAAATACTAAGTGGGTGAAAGTGTGGTTTGTAGGTGGAAGCAGCTGTTATCACATCCTTAACATAGATCTCCTGAAATAAAAAATGATACAGTGTAGGTACTACATGCAGCACCAATTTCTATAGGTTAATAAAGGTTCTTTTTAAATTCTTAAAATCACTATTTTCAGATTAAATAGATGTTCCAATTAAACAGCTGCCTTCTACTGGTAACACAGCAATTTCAAGTTATTGTTTTTTCTTGTTTTAATACTTTCATACTCTCTGATTTTATCAAATAAAAACATTAAATTCATATAAGTACTTATAAATTGTAGCAACTTGATATTAATAATTGTTAAGATTAGTTGTCTATACAAGGGGTCTCTAAACTACGGCCCATGACTTCAGTTTATCTGGTCCACCAACAGTTTATTAAAGTAATAATATAAAAGCCAACCTGAACATGTATGCATCCCTACTTAATTGAGCAAAAGCCAATCTGAACATGTATGCATCCCTACTTAATTGAGCAAAAGCCAATCCGAACATGTATGCATCCCTACTTAATTTTACCACGACCCTTCTGGCCCACGAAGCCTAAAAAGATCCACCTCCCAGCTCTTGTCCAAAAAGGTTTGGAGACCCCTGGTCTATACCATCACCTAAGATTCATTGTTTTAAAGATACAGATACCAATTATTAAGTAGCGTTATCTTACATCTAATCTGCAGTTGTCTTCAGGGAAGTCTTGAGAACTACTTCTGGGTTGGTTTTGTTTTGTTTGTTTTACATTTCACAGAAAGTTGCTTGAGGGCTATCTGTGCTAGCCCTTTCTAATTTAGCAGTGATAGCCTAGAGGGAAGGCATCTAGTCAAACATCACCCACTGCTATCTCTTGGACTACTCTTTTACAAATGAACAGTGGAATTAACCATCATATTATAATATCCCATGTGCTGAAAGGTGAGCATGTTGGGTGAAAGGGATTCTTTCTGGGTTGTTAGTCAAGCGGATAATGAATGCACCAAATTACTATCAAAAAGATCAAAGATCAAATCACAGCCACTATAAACACAGAAAGAGTTCTGAATTCCCTGAAGGTTGCAGTTAAAATATATAATAAAACTAGACAATAATTAGCATCTAGTTATAAAAAAAAAGTTACTAATTAATAAATGCACTGAGGTTAATGTATAGGCTACTTAAACCCTGACAATGATCAAATTCATTTGATAATTTGGGTTTCTTATAAAAAAAGATTCCTCCAAATGACCCAGAAGGAGGGTTGTTTATATTTTAGGAAGGAGTGATGTGTGCTGAAATAAATGCAAGTATGAATTTTCTAATCCCCAGTTTCTTTTATTCCAACATCTGTTTTTTGTGTGAACTACAGAAGGCATTGTTAAAACATTTACTGATGATCTAATTAAAGTTATACATATCTCAACATGAACTTACGGAAAGAGAAAAGAAACCAGAATCTAGAAGATTGAATTAGTAGAAAACTTGTAAGGATGTTAAATGATAATTCTATTTATGGAAACAATTGTATAAATTTTGATAACAAAGTAACAGAAGTGTCTTGGGTGGCCTTAGCTCATTTTTCCTTCTACAAAAAAAAATTAAATATAACTAAAGAAAAAATTGAAGCAATGAACCATTTAAGTAAAAATAAAGAAACAGTTATAGTTGAATCAGACAAAGGAAATGGTACAGTTGTTTTAAATAGGGATGATTAAGTACTTTTGATAACATCTGATGAAACTAACTTTAGAATACTCAATCATGATCCCACAAAAAATAACAGAGAAGGTAGAGTAGAAAGTAAAGAAAGATAATTTCCATTAGTGATGAAACATACAAAGATATTAGAGCAGTAGGTTCTCACACTGGTATTTTGTACAGTTCACCAAAAATTCATAAAAACAACTGTTCAATTAGGTCAACAGTTTCAAATATATGTATCCATGATCAGGAATTGAAAGAATTTGTGAATTATTTTCTAAAAGATTTGAAACGAGAAAAATTTTGAGATTTCTTAAATAACTTGACTGATTTAAGATTTGATGAATAAGTTTACTATGAGAGTTGTCACACTGAGTGCCTATACTCTAACATTATTTTACAATTCAATTGTAAAGATATTACAATTACTATATTAAAGTTTATTGAACTTTTAAATTCTGCCCCACCCACAAAGTTTCATTTTAAGTTTAATAATAGTATATATATGTCAAATAAATGGTGATGTTATAGTTTCAGAATTTAGTCTAGCAAATCTGCTTTTAATGTTATCATGAAGAACAATGGTTGAGTAACTGTCTTGAGAGTTTACAAGCTGTTAGATATCATTGTTAAGTTGATAATACTTTTGTTATCTTTGAAGCAAAATATCAAGTACCTTCTTTCTTAGAATGTCTGAATAAACAATATCCTTGTGTTAAATTTGTAGTTGAAGACAGAAACAACTGAAGTTGTCTTTTTTCAGGCTTAGATATTAACAACGTTGGAGATATTTTGAAATAGAAATATATCATAAGCCAATATACACAGGATTATGTAGTCATTTGACAATTGTATAAATCTTAAGAATAACTTTGATAAATATTTTATTCTATATAGCTTATATTGCCAGTAACTATCATTATTTTCATAAAGAAACAGAAAGTTTAAAATAAAAAAAAAAGGTTTCATCTTTCTTACTTGATAATAGCTGAAAATGTTTTCTAAATGAAGTGTACACCTTTCATAAAGTGAATTCTAATCTGCCAAAATTGTCATTTTATGTCAGTCTTCCATTTATGGGTAAAAACAATTATGTGCTGAGAAATCAAGTTATCCACAACTTTCAGCGTGCATACCTTAGAACTTTAAAATAATAGAATATTTATCATTTACACTGAATAAATGTACTACTAAGTAATAAACAGGAATAATGTAAACATACACCACTAAACTTTTAGCTTTGTGAGACCTTGCTGTTGAGACTTAATTGTAAATTGTATGAAGAAAAGTTCTGCTTAATTCATTTGTGTTTCCTTGTTTTGTTTGCTGGTTACATTTAAAATTATTCTCTGCTAAACATTTCCTGAATCTTCAATGCATTGCAAATACTTTAAAACTTTCTGTTGGGTGTCATTGCATCTAAATACTCTAGGATTTCTGTGCTAATTAGATCTGATTGCATGTAAAACAAAATTGTGCAAATTCTGAAATTTTACTTAGCTGTAGTGCATTCCAAGGGTTCCAGAAATCGCTAATTGTATTTCATTTGTGTTACAATAAAGCAAAACTATATATATGTATATGTCTTGAATAGCTGATAATACTATGAGGTTTTTTTTTTGCTAAAATTATAATAATTAATTAATTAAAAACAACGTTTTATATTTACACAATAAAAACTTTTATTGAAGCCGTACGGCTTCCGCTTTAAAATCTCTACAGGTACATGTTTTGACGTAATTAATTATTTATTATAATTTTAGCAAAAAATTTTAAACACAAGTGCCGGTAGTGGATAATACTATGAGTGTTTAATATCTTAATAACAAATTAATTATGTTCAGTCTTCCTGTGTCATATGATTTATCCAGTAGTTGTGTGTACACATTAATTTACTGTTTATTGCAATTAAAATATTTTCATCACTATGTGCTGAAAATTATACTATATTTTTTAGAACATTTTCTAATAATTTAAAATTGAATGCATTCTGAGAAAATACATATTATTTCTTGACTTCTGGTCTTCGGAATTAAAAAAACTACCAAAAATGATCAAATACTCAAAAAAACTATTTATGAACTGTAATTTATGGAAGTTTACTATTTTGAAACTTTTAAAATTGACCTCAAACTCCAGAAAATATCATTGGGCATTGAATTCTTAACAACTACCAGCACATATTTACTGGGTTGAAATAACTGATGTTTTCCAATATTTAACAGCAAAGTCTGATGTGTGATATCATGATAATTATGGCTTTTCTAATAAAGCATTTGTGGCCAAGCAACTATTTATAACTTCAGATTTAATTAGATATTTCCAGAGCAAGATCTGCAATGATCTTTATATTTCAGTTTATTAAGTAAGTAGTGAAAGCTAAAAACACCTTGCAAGTACTAAGTGCACAATAATGGTAAAACTTTTCAAAATTATTAGAAAAGAAATACCACCACATTTCTTACTTGCAGAATTCCAGTGGATGGGCAAACAAACTTACAACAGATAGCAACTGATATGTTCAGAACATGATTAACTAAGTGGTGTGGAATGTCTTCAAGCAAGACTTCTCCATGGCTTAGTCTGTCCCTTACTCTTGGTCCCTCGGGGTACACCAGTAAATCCAAGAGAAGTTCCTACAGAAATTATCTGTAATTTAGCATTTGCAGTGACACGGCTTATGTACTATAAAGCAACTTAAAAATACATACTAGAGGGTAACTATAACTTAAAAAGCAGTTGAATCCCATGAGAAAAAGACTTAGAAGGATCACTGAATAAGATATAATGTAATACACTTTTAAGTCATGTATTAACTTTGCAAAAACCTCCTAAATAAATATCAAACCTTTTTATTTTATCTGCTATTTTCTCTATCCTAACTCTATACACACATTTGGTCAATTTGACTTACTTCATAACCACCATACAAAATATGAAATAAATATAAATTACCCTTTTTTCTTTCTAGAATCACCCAAAACTACAATTGTTTATCCTAAATAGCTTAAAGCTCATAACAGCATACATCTGTTTATATTTAAATTTCTTGTTTTACTGCCCTTTAACCCATGTTTAACTAATAATCCTACCACACAAGTTGTAAATCATTTCAGCAAATGCATAGCTAGAATTACCATACTGAATTACATAATGCAAAAGCTGTTCGTGAGTATACTTCATGATGAATTATTATTATTTTTCATTATCTTATCTAATCTATCCTAATAAATCTATAATTTTTAGATTTAGTTACTTTTATAATAAATAAAGGTATATGAAAAAGAAGAAATATAGTACTTACCTCTTGATTTTTGATGTTAACTGTCAGTGAAAGCTAAGTCTAATTTTTTTTATACTAATGGTAGTGGTATATTAAATAACTTTTATCTAATTAAATAATGCACCTAAGAACACTGAGTAATAATCCACACAAAGAAACCAAGGACATATAACTATCATAATTTATCTGGCTTTCTAACTGTGTAATAAGAGCCTTTAAAAATTTAGCTAAGCTTGTCGATGTGAATACCACGAGAGAAATTGTCAAACTGGAGGCAAAATAGACAATACTCTGTATAGTTTGTTTTTAATTATGCACAAAGCTACACAAGGGCTATCTGTGCTCTGCCCACCACGGGTATCAAAACCCGGTTACTAGTGTTGTAAGTTCGCAGACATACCGCTGTGTCACTGGGGGGCACTCTGTATAGAAAACAACATAATGTAATATGTCATTTGATAGATTAAACATTTGTTTTTTACTTATTATAAATAATATAGTATAAAATGTCAGAGAAATTTGCGAAAGAGAGGAGGTGATAGGTGGGTGTGGCAAATAGGTTTAATTTTCTGTTTTATGCCTCTGTAAACAAACAAGGTTGAAGGTTGTAAAAATTGTGCTTTGCCTAGTAATATTTATATTGAGTAATTTACATTAAATACCACATTTCTCGTAGGGGTGGTAGATAAATTAAAGAAGAGGGAAGACAAAGAGAACAAATATCACAATTCTCATATTAGAGAAGAGTGAGAATTTTTTAAAACGTTTCCTTACATGATTAAGAACTTAATACTTATATGATATTAAAATTTGGTTTATTAACTAAGTTTTGATGCCAGGTCTATTTGCATACAATGATAATAAAGTAATTTAATTAGATTTTGAATGTAACATTCTAAGCAAGAGGATTAATATGAAGCAGTGTGTGTGTGTCTGTAGAATAAATTAAAATATTTTTCCAACCTTGCCTGTAAAGTAAAATAATTAATTCCAAAAACATTGTTCCATTAAACCTTTTTTAAAGCAAAAAAACTTACAATCTGAGCTTTAAAATATGGGGTTATACTCAATATCTTGCTTCATACAATCTTGTTAATCATGTCATCTACTAGCACATATTTACTAGTTTGAAATGACAGATGCTTTATAAAATTTATCAATGGTTAAAGAAGTCATTATATGACTAACCAAAAAGAAGACCAGGACAAGCCCTCTTCCTCTCCAATTTAGCAAGTTTACTACATTTAATGTCATATGCAAATAAACCAGATATTTCAAACATCATAGCAGACACTTCTGCCAAAAAAATGAACTGAAAATGTTGAATGCAAACAACAGAAGACTGTTACTACATTTTAAACATCATAACAGCCACTGTTATATAAATGAGAGTAAGTTCAAAAATATTGATATTGTTGAGCATCAACTTATTAACAGTAATGTGATAATTTATAGTAATCATCGACAAAGAAGATTGTGGGTGGGCATATAAACTGTAGATAAAAATACCAACAACAAAACAATAGAGAACTCACAATGTACGTATCTCCAAGTACATTTCTGATTTTATTTGTTTTCTCGTGAACAAACTCAGAAAATATCTGAAAGAAACAAATTTTAGAGATAATTAGGAAATCATAACTGATATGAAAAGTATAAAATTACAAGAAGAAAATATAATTTTAAAGGAAATGAATGTTTTTCTTAACCATTTTTATAACATTGATTAAAACTATCTTCGTATTTTGTCATATTTAGTGTCAAACTAGAAATAAAAGACATACTTTGTGACTTTACTTTTACTTATAGCAAAACTCACTATAAGTGTTATGAATGAACATTAAATGTAATTACACCAAGATCAAAGCATCAACAATATATTCTAAATCTATAAAATTTATTTTTAATAGCCTTCTGATATAACTTCATGTAATAAGCACACACTTCTGAATCTTATTAGAAGTCTAGTTGCAAGTAGATAAAACTTTTAGTTCATCATACTTTAAGAATCTTAAGTTTAGACTTGTCTTAGAAAATAGTTAAAGCAAAATATTGGAAACTAATAAGTGCATAAAACATAGTAATACAAGAAATACACATAAGGTTACTTAAATCAGTACAGCTGTGTCAGAGTTGCATTGAAACTAATAGATGACAATGAATGTAACAATATATTTTACAAACAAATTTTATGATACATTTTTATTACTTTAGTAGCTATTTATATATTGTACAAGTTTTCAAGTTCTTTTAACTCTCAAATGCTCAGGTGCATCAAAGATTTGTTTTGTTGAATTGCAATACAAAAAAAAATAAAAAATTACTGGATGAAATAGCTTGAAACTTCAGATGAATTTTTCTACAGATCATGTGACTTCTGCAAATAAAATATATTTTATATGTGATATTTGTATGAATTGGCTGCTCTGAAAATTCAAAAAGATTTCATTGTGTTATTTTTAAGAGATAATTAAGTATGCTTTTGTTGTGTATTTTAATCACTGGTTTTTCATGACTTCCTGCATTCTTTCAAAACTTTCCTGTACTTTATTTTTTATGAAACTGTAAATTTTAGCTTTGATTCTATTTCAAAAATATTACACACAATTTCACTATATTTATGATCACTGGTGTACATCAAAATAATTTTTTTACCATACAAAAATCTATAAGCGAGGCAACATTTTTTAAACTGTCGATAACAAGGTTTGATTTAATATTTATAATAAGTTTTAAACACATTTTATATTCATTTACATATATACATATTTTTCAAAGTTATTTTATTTGCCAATTCAAGCAGTCACATAGACCAATAAAGCCTAAAATTAACACAGAATGACATAGCAAGCATGTTAGTGAAATGAAACTTGATATAGTTGAGTGCAAAATGAATTAGCTATGCCTATCTCATCTTGTTCTATGAAAAACATTTATTTCCCCATCACGCTGCAACATTATAATTCAAATGATGTATAAAATGATAAAGCAACTGTAATTGTGATAGATATTGTTCACAAATATCTTTTCTTCTAGCAACAATGACCAAGCTAAGCTTTTATCATTTTGTTTTGATTTCTTTGTTAGACTAAACTGGAATGGAAGCCACATTGGATTATATGGTTGAAAGCAACAGAAAAACAGCTTTCATTATGTGCTTAGATCTCAAGTCCATGACTTTTCAAAGCTGAGATATAGGCAATTATATCACACCATGACAACCAAGGTTCAGAAACAGTATTTGGCTAAGCTTGATAAATCTACACTAGTACTGAGATTACAAAAAAACCAAACTTACACTATTTTGTTCAAAACTATTTAGACTTTTCTCCTATGTGGATACAACTGCCATATTATGCTCAGAAAAAGTTTAGGATATTCATACACAAACTACTGTTTTCAATCAGCAGTGCTGACATGAAATTTTGTGAATATTTCTATTGTTTATGTAAAAAAATTAAATAAAATTTTTTATTGAATAAATTTTAACTCTGAGGTTTTCTAATGCATGGAAGATCAACTACAATTTTCTTTTCTATAAGTTTAAATTTCAATGGTGCAATTATCCTTATAGTGAGATTAGCCCAGCTATCTGGGCATGATAGAGTTAATAATAACAACAAAACTATAAGGAGGAGAAACTTCTCATTATAACTGCAATTTAATATAAGTTTGAGCAAATATCAAGAGCAGTTAAAACACCAACTTTGTTCACTCATTCACATATATGTAATTAAAGTCAAATACAACTATCTTATAATGTAAGCTGATATGTTTTTTTTTATTAAAAATTATGTATGGAAAGGAATATGTTTTTTAACTGCAGTATTTAGTTTGAATGAACAGCTATAATTGATCTCCAGATGGATGCTGTAATAAATAATAAACTCTGTACAAAGACCTGAAACTGGATTGTTTGTGGCATTTTTACTGACCATAATTAAACTTTTACAATAAACATTCTACTCAAGCAAGGTTTTATCAATGTGTAGCACTAATCTCTCTACAATTAAAGAAAGTTAACATTTTCCTACACTGGAATTAACAAGAGACAAAAGCATAACTATGACATTAACTTGTAACTGGTAATGCTTACCTCATCAAATGTTGTATACAGCATTGTTGCCTGAGGACAAATGAAAAAATTATATATTAAATAAAGAAAACCAAAACAACTATTGCAATTTTCCCTATACAGATTTCATTTTAAATCTAGATCCTCTTACCTCAAAACAGTATTCTTAACCTCAGACTCTTAATAACCACACCTGTTCGTTTCCTATATGGAATTTCCCAGCTTTGCAAACCAACAGAAAATGAAACATTCACTTTAATTGATTAAATATTATATCAATGTACAAATATATATATATATATACGAATGAATTCTAACCTCAATGTATCTAGTTTAAATTTACAACTGATTAAGATATGTTTCAAAAATGTAAGACAATGTTATGCTCCGTTTCATTCAGAGAATTGTAAGCATAAGATGGAAAATTTTAAATGCAAACAAATGTGTCCTAAAAAAAAGAATTATCTTATTTGTTTTTAATATCAGAACAACTTAATTTTCTCATAAATAGTAACATTTTATATTGTGTGTGTGTGTATATAAAACATTCTATTAGTGCCAAAACCTAAACAAACCTTCTTTATTAAAATACTTACTTGATAAGCTAACCTACTATGATTAGTTACAGTACTGATAGTTTTTCGAGTGTGTGAATGATATTTTGTTAAGATTCCTGTAACCAACAGTCATCGACCCACAAACAAGTTTGTGCACAAACAGTTTAGAAAATGTGTTGAACAAGTTGATAATGGTTCATATGTACCTCATCAGTAATTGAGTTAAGCATGAAGTAGTTAAATAAATAAATCTGAAAATATTCTATTCCACAATAAGCTGATTTACCAACTACAACAAATCTACATACAAGTATCATAATATCCCGACACACTGCAACACACTTACAGCTTTAGAGAAATAGTAACACATTCTATTTTAATTTGCCCACTTATATCTTGACAAGAACATAATTCAAAAATTTTTTGGGGGGTGGGTGGGAGAGCAAAAGAAGTAAATCTCACCTCTGCTGTCACAATTCTTTCAGGACAATCATTTGCAGCAACAAATATATTTCTTAAACAGTTTTCAATCTGAGGCAAAAGAATTACCAAGCATTGGCCATATCTGTAAGATGTAAATTGTTTGTAAAGAATGAAAATATTTACTACCAATATTGAAAATACATGCAAATAAATAATCATTATTGTACAACTGCCTACAGTGACAAATAAAATTATACTTTTTTAATTGACACCTTCCCAGGAAGGATAAAGTTTTATAATAGATTATATCACAGTTGTGAAATATCTAGTCATTAGATCCAAGAAAGATGCCTTCAATCTAGACTAAAGACTAAACAACTTTAATTTATACTGAATGAAACATAGAAAGCAAATTGACTATGTCAAAACTGGTATTCTACTAAGTGTCATTAAAAAAATAATTAAAAACCACAATAGGGAAACAGGATTCTTATGAAGTTCACAAAATTTACCGAGAAGTACATGAAACTTTGTGGGATATGTATTGTTCAAACCTTTCATGTTCCATAGTTTAACACTTCAAATATTAATTTGTCTTCTAGTGTTATTTCTACCCTAAGAAATTAAACAAAAATCCCATCTTAAATTGAGTAACTTGAATTCTTGTATTGTTGTCATGGTTAGTAGTTTGGTGGTACATTATGGCAAAATTAAGTTCACCATTGAGCACTAGCCTTTAATCTTCGGACTCATTATTTGCTGATAATTTCTGAAGATGTATATACTTGGCTTCATATTAAACAAAATGAGCTGTATTTTAACTTAATGTGTAGAGTATATAGTAGAAAATCCACACTCACATTAATAAATGACAGGATTGCGTATGCCATACTCAATCAAAGGAACAGAACTCATCTGGTCTAGAATTGTGAACATTCATTCTCACTCCCCAACCAAGTGGACAAGGAGTATTTTACTTGCCCCTGGAATTATGGAGAGGACGTGGAACCTGTGCTCAACCAAGGCCCTAGGATGGGACCACATCACATTCAGAATTATGAGGAGATAGTGGACCTCCTTCCAAGAATAATATATGAAACCAACAATGATCAGAGAGAAGGGCCATGCACCCCCAACCGGATAGCTTTGAGTCAAATCTGAACCAGAATTATGAGTAGGCTCCCGTGGAGGCTGGTGCAACTCCTACTGATATCTGGGGAAAAGAATAGGAGGGCCCCCAACCTCGCCTTATTCTGCAATAGGTGAACCAAGTTCCCTCAATTTTTAAAAACAAACCGATCATGACTTATTCAACCTGAAGATCAGCAGGGATGGGCAAGATCCCCTTTAGCTTTACTCATGATAGTCCATGAGTGGCAGTCCATAATATAAAGGTAATACCATCTGGTAGGCACCTATATGGTCTTATGGAACACCCCATTTCAACAGAGCCTGATGAAACCTGTAGTAATTATAGTGAAAGCAGTTGCTAGTGCAGAATTGAAAAGAGAAAGCATATCTCCCTGGAAAACACTCACCATAGAGTGGGATCCAGTGAACAAATAAAGGGACCCTGAAAAAAAAAAGGAATATGATTGAGGAAAATACTCACCTCTGATGAAAATCTAACAAATGTGGTCAAAATAGTTACAGTGGTTAGTCAAAAACTCTCAGATAATGTAAGAAATGAGATAGGAGAGTATTAGGAGTAATCCACATACCAGACCACACAATGTCTTCCAGAGGGCAATTCATCCCACGCAGCTACTGATGGAGGTATGACAAATCTGGTGAGATGTGACATGCAAAAGATTCCTTTCCTGCAACAAAATCCATTACAGGCCATGTGAATCAACATTAGGGTAATGGGAAAAAGAAGGATTCCAATAAATGAACAATCGATTCCTACTACCTCAAGTGGAGTGGTCATAAAGGTGATAAATGGCTGGCAAATGGATTGGTGATAAGGATCTTTCCTCTTCCCTAGCTATCAGAGTCTTGGACAGAAAGGACCTATTAGGGTAAAGCAGGACAAATGTGGAATGATAAAGAGTTTGAAGCACAGGAATTGAAAACAACTCCAACCAACAATGTCCACAAGCCAATAACAAAAAATACAATTTAAGAGAAAGATGAAACACAGAATGCAAAGCTAAGGGGTCAAAAGGAGGATGAGTCAATGCATGTAAAACCACTGTGAAATCCCAATTTGGTAATTGAAAAGGTCATCTGGATCAAAGAATACGAAGGGTTTTGAGTAGATCTGATAGTACTGAGTATTAAAAAACTTCTGATATTTGGAATACTGAAAATAGTGGATAAGGATGCCTTATATAAAGCAACTGTAAGCGAAGCGAGAACCCTCTCAAATACCCAAGTCATAAAATTGGATATGGTAGATACTTTAGGATGAAGAGAGTTGAAATTCCTTTTAAGACACTACTGACAATAAGTATTTCCTTTCTGTTGATAAATAGCTGTAGTTGGCCTGTGAAGAGATTTAGTTAAATACAGAGAAATTGTAGAAGTTAACTCCATAAGTTGGACAAAGGACCGCATAACTTCCCAGCATGAAAACTGAGTTTCTAAACACCTTGGTGGAGAATGTCTGATTGAGGTTGTCTCAGAGACTGCCAATGTAGAAGAGGTACACAGAGGATATACCAGCAAATACCGAAGATGTGAAAACCATGAATACAATAATTTTTCACCTGGATTTAAAAAAAGAAAGGTAAAGCTTCAAGAAATGTTATTTCGTTATAGAGCAGAGATGTATTAAGAACTGTAATGTTTTGTACAAGATTAGAGATGATTATAACAATTTCTAGTAGTTAAAACTATTTGGCAAGACTTCTTGTTCATTTAAATTCAGAATATTCTTTTTTTTTGTAAAAATAACATTTAATTTTTGAGAGAAGTTTTCATATATTGACCAAACGTTTTGTCATACATTATGTAAGTGTGTATGGTGTTTCTGTAATTCTGGTACAGATGGGTGTGGAATGGATAAAGAAAAACACATCACTACAATGGATACCCCGAACACTTAATAAAGAAGATACACATGAAGAATAAGTAGGAAAAAAATCACAAGCACACAACCATATTCCTCTATGTCAAAGGTTTCTCTTTAAACATACAGAAGATGTTCAAACAGCATAGAGTAAGAACAACATTCAGAAGCCACAACACAACATGATTACAGTTAGTACACAACAAACCACCCAAACACCACATGGAGATCAAAAGCACCAATTAAAACATCTCACGTAAAAGATTAGAGAAACAAAAAGTTCAACGAAAGTTAAGACATGTGAGCATAATACACACATGAGACCATGTTATTCTGATCTATCTGTAATAGACCGTATTGTTAGGAAAGAACATATATTAAAATGAAGTAGCAATAAAATACAGAACACACCATTCTTTCTGACAAAAAACCCAGTATCAAATCGTGGCCACTGCCATCACATATATTCTTTTTTGGGACCTCCCAGAAAAGAGTAGCAGACTAGAAACCAAAATGTAGGACATAAATCAACCAGTATTTAATAATGATAATAAATAACAAAAATAGCAACTAATTAATAATCACACTTAGATGATCACATAGGCTACTACTAACCAAGACAATGACTGGTGTCTGATCACCACAACCTTACCAAAAGTACTAGTTTTTTTGTATGATTTTAAAACAGCACTTGACTGTTCATAGTTTGGGTTAAGTTGTTTATCTGTTATTTTGTAAAGATGTCTGAATGAAAGTTCACAGGAAGATGACAACATTAACAGCAGCAAACATAAAAAACTTCCTAATGTAAGTTCCCACAACTTCACATGTTAATGAAGTAGTGCATTAACATTCCTCTGGTCATACATTCTGTACTGTTTCCCTTACTTGTATAAAAATGTTCTATAATTGTTTCACTCCTGTAATGTATTTTTTAAGTTCAAGTTCTAGTTATTCATGTCTTCAATAAATCTATTAAAACTGATTGTGTATTCAACTTACTTGATACTAAAAATTCCTTTACACAAGACAAATTATCTGCTAGAGAAAAATTGAAAAATAAAATTCTAAATATGATAGCATTCATAGACTGCATACTTTGTATGTTAGCAATTCCAATATTGTACTTTTAAATATCTGATTTCAGAGTTCATATCTGAAAATGTTCTTGCAGTTGATATTTCATATATTTTGGAAATGTTTCATCAAACTTTATGTTCTGAACATGTTAGAATTCTTAAATGTTCACAACACATTGGTATTTCCAAAGTTCGAATTTCAAACATGTTTTAATAAATGTTTTGTTTTGATATATAAGTTGTTCGGGGTTTTTTCATCTTAAAAAAAAGCAACATTAATTTCTTGATGACCTAATAGTTTCATGTTACAATTTGAAGTCATTCTAGAAAGAAAAAAGGGTAATTTAGGTTTATTTCTATTTCTTTTTTGGTGGTTACAAGGTCGGTTGGATTGACCAATCCCATTTTGAGATAGGATGGAGAAAATAACAGATAAACTATAAAGTTTTAATGAAAAAAAAATCTTTGAAATGCATTTAGGAGGTTTTAGGGATTTTACACAGAGGAAATTTAAGATTTTTGATATGAGGATAATAATTTTTAATTTTAACACAAAAATTACTTTTCACACTAACTATTCAAAAGAAATACTCAATATATTAATGGATAAATCTTTATTTTATTCTATTAAAAATACTTCACTAAAAACATATGATTTATTGTATGTGAAAGACTTATAATATTGATTGAAAGACTGCCAAATTTTGTGAAGATATACACACAATATTGAAAGTTGAAGTATTAAACCTATAAAGACTTTAATCGAGTACAAAGAGGTCACATGGTCGGTCAAATTGACCAAGCCCGCATTGAGAGTTAAATCTTGATGCTCATAATCTGGATGTGCCAGCATGTATAAAATTTACATTTATGTTTTTGTTTACTTAAAAACTCAAAATACTTAAAACTTAATTGTTAAAATTATGCAGTGAAGGAGCACCTAATAGTTTCTAATGAACAAAATCAATTTTACTTCTACCTGAAACAGATGTATAATCCTAATCAGTTATGTTGGTAATTTGATGTTTATCCTATGAACTTCCAAGCTTTAGAATATGATATTCAAAAAAACAATTATACACGATTATCTGTACAGATACAACTATAAAGGAATGTATATGTTCAAATCTACTTCATATTCTTATACTAACTTCTGATTTCTGAAACAAGACAATACTTCTTTCCAGTAGGGTAGCATTTGGGGCAACAATGCAGTAGTTTTTCTGAAAATCTCCTCTGCAATTCTCATGCAGGAATCTGTAATTTCTGAAAGTTATTTAAACTTTAATTACGTGAACTAGTTCACATAAATCTTGTTAAAGAAAAGGTTTGCCTCATATCTGATAATTATGTAAAATATTTAGGAATAGTTTTTAATGTTTCTGATATACAACTATGGTTTTCTGATCAAATAGCATGTCTACTCATTTAAGTCCTGCACTTGACAATTAACAGATCAAAGCTGAATTTTAAAATGGCTTTTTTACAATATATTTTGAGAGATTTCATAAAAACAAGCACTATTAAGCTATGAATATTAAACAGAATTAACTTTCTTTAGAGTTATTTCAAAATAATAATAATATTGTAGTTTATACTTATAAATGTGCTTATTATTGTTTTGCTCAGAACTCATCAGATTCAGAGAGTTATGGCTAGTACTTATGTAAAATTATAACCATCAATGGCATGAAGGATATATTTACACTTAACAACTATTTCTATGAGTAGTTTTACAATATTATGTAAAATAAAACACTTACCAGGAAAGCAATTTATCCAAGTTTCAGTCTGTTGAAAAGACAACCACGAACGACAAGGTATGTGCTCAGGTTTTAATCCCAACTTTTCTAGTTTTTCTCCAAAGCTTCGGACAATAGCCAATAAGATGTACCCATGCCTAAGAGAGTGAATTATTTACTTAATTATAAACTTAGGCTCCCCTTTGTAAACATTCTCAAGAACTACATGTTTTTTCTTTTTATAATTGTGTTAATAGTTAATCACACACATATACAGCCACTGCTGTATGAGAGGGGTGCTCCATCTTTTTTTTTCTTCTTTCTTTTCAAAATAACTAAGGCATGCTCAATTGGCCTTTATGAAAGTTCTAAAGAAATTATTACAAAACAGCTCGGCCAGGAATCAGCTTCTTTTCAGTGTGTGAAAAAAATTTGGCTGACAATTTTCATTAAAATTCGTTCATAACTTTCAATCAAAAACAAAGTTCTTAAGTATGTGTTGTCCCAGGGCTCACAAAACTTCATCTGGCACTGCAAACAGCACTGCTTTTATATGTATATATTACTTTAACTTGTCATTAAATCATTACAGTTAATTAAACCATACAATTCAACAGTAATAAATATGAATGAGTCAACTTAATTTCATGAGTACTAAACCTTTGACTACCTTGAACTGACCTCAGATGGTGCTACAAAACCATGCCAAAGAATGTTTCGCAAGTTAAGAGAAATAGGAGGTCCCATTAGGATCTGAAGGAAAAGTATCTGAAATAAACAATTAGAGATAAGACAGTTTTACTTAAGACTGTACAACTTAATATTTGAAAGTATGATCTACTTTCTCACACTCTTAGATCTGTACTCCAGTGTATTTTCTTTGTGATATCTTTCACAGACTCCTAACCAGAGGGGCATGTGCTACTCCCACTTGAAACATATTTTGAGCATAAGATAATTCTTGCCTTTCTTCACTCACCAGTCTAAACATAATGTGTTGTAATGTTTTTTTTGTTGGGTGAGTTCTTTTGGATTATCAGGTAAATATAATGGCAAGTACAGCCCACAAAACAATAACAAATTAGTGTATTTTTTATAATGCTTTTACAGGCTGTTTTCACCTTCAGTTGTATGCCTAAGTCTATAAACAACAATTCAACAGAAATTCCTTGCTATTGGTACTATGCCTAATTTACACATGAATTTACTTGTACAATTCCACAGCTAATCAATCGAGTAACTGAACGTATGCAATAAATCTCACTACTAACACTGATCTGGATCTGAATACTTCACTAACTTATAATTATCTCACTACTACACTGATTCTCTTATTCATAATGTACTCCCCTACTTTCACATATCATGTGAACCTACTTGATTATTATATCATAACAGCCTTTCTAGATATTGATTAGCAGTTCCTTCTAGCAAAAATGTAAATAAAAATATAGCTTACAATAATATGACAAAATAGTTTTAATATTGTAATGGTTTGAAATTCTTTGAACCGAATGTAATATCAATTACAAACAGTCGCTTTAAAGGTGAATTCTGTATTTTATTTCATGAAGTAATTCCTTTTTTGATGATTATATTGAAACATTCATTGACCAGAAAGAAACGGGTTAGTCTTTTTTGTACAGTCACTTAAAAACTATTCATAAGATATTTTCATTGAAACAAATGCCATTTATGTGTAGCTGCAAGTTTTCTGCTGTGTTTCAAACCAAGTGAGTTGAATAAGCCAACCAGTAGTTAAAAATATATGTATTATAATAACTCAGATATTTTCAAATGCTATACCAAAATAATACTTTCACGCAAAAAAAACACTTGTAGACACTTACTGGTTAACCTTGCAAATGATTTTTTCTTCAAGATCAAATGTATTGCTTGTGCTAACAATTCAGCAACTTAAGAAGTTTATAAACACTGTACAAGCAAAACATTACATCACAGAACATTATGTAAAGCAGTATATCATATGGTAATTAATTAATAAGCTTACAGATAGCACTATTTTCTTACTGCCACTTTGAAATAATATTCAATTCTATAGTAGACTGAAAACAAAACACTTACTTGTTATTAATATACATATTCATATATTCTCTTTACCATTTCATAGTGTTGAGTATGAATTAAGACCACCTTACACAGACTTAAGCTTTTGGAGGGTTGTTGTAGGTACATTTCTATAAGAAATTAATTTTTGGTATTTGATAGGTTGACTGGTTCACTACACATATTCCTTGGGTAAGAAAAAACAAACAAACACTAGTAATCAAACTTAGTGTCTTAATTTTTTATTCTATTTCAGTTTACTTAAATATTGTTACGTATCTGCTTGTTTGTTAATTTCCTGTAGAAATTCTTTCCGAGAAACTTCAGCGATAAGCCAGTTCATTCTTCCTCGATACAAACTTTTAGCACACAGTAATTTCGCAATCTCGATAACAAAACACACAGTAGCTCGAAACAGAATCATAAATTACCCTGAACTCTCTTCATTCATTAATCCCACAGGCTTTCTCTGCCAGGCTTATATACTAATGAAGAGGGCGTCTTGAACGCACTAGAAAATTCATTATAATTTGAGAAATTTCATGTGCGCTACCAGGAACAAACGCGTCTGCAGGGTCGCATGACTTCCGCTGTCGTAACACTGCCCCTTCCTTAGTATTGTTTGTCCCG